CCATGGCTACTCCCGGAAAAGATGCGCTATTAGCGTTACCTCACAGAGGTGTGCGCAAAACAGATGTGGAAGGTGGGACCAAGTATAACCCTGGGCACTCACCCAAGAACGAGGGGAGTGGAACCTATCCTAGCATCGCAATAGAGCTGACATACCAGGAGCGATAGCTCTTGTACAACTGACGGTGGCCTGAACGTTCTCTCCTGATGCAAGCCATTATCCCCCTTCAACAGATTATGAATCACCAAAGCTCACTTGTCCGATAAAATTACACTAATTTTATTCACACCTCTTGCGGGATCAGATATGGTAGATCTATTTGCCCATGAGTACAGCGAATTGTCTTGTAGAAAGCATACAGAAGAAAGGTTAGAAGTATGGAAGGGAGATGCGATCAAGGGGAGTAAAGGGTATTTTGGAGGCATGAGAAGAAGCGAGGAGAATAGAACCGATAGAAGGAGGCAAGAATGAAATAGAGGTAAACTGAATAGAAGACAAGAGAATCGGAATGGAGAGGTGGGAGGGAAGGGATGGAATTAAGAGGAGAAAAAAGGAAGTGGGGATTTTCCAATTCGTGTATATAATATAGAAGGCTGTCTGTGCCCCGATGAGTGAAATGGCGGAGAGAGTAATAATTGAAAAACATTCAAAAATCGGGAAACCAGTCCTCAATCCAAAAGCCTCCCGGGAGCGGAGTCCACAAATAGCACAAAATAAAGAAACAACAGATCACACCTAGGGATCTGAACTGGATATAACTCTTTGCATGCAACAAGCCGGGTTAGTCAGCCTTGATTTTCAGATATGGGAATTTCTTCAGCTAGGTGAAAACCTTATCTAGCGTGAAGTTTCGTATGTATTCACAGGTTATACAGTGAGAGCAGATATTAAGGCTTTCCACAATTGCCAATCACCTATCCTCCGATGTTACAGGTGGTGGCATGATAATCATAGTAGTAGTAGAGCGTTGTGTGGTGCTGGGGGCTCAGATATTGTAGAGCACAGGGACAGGCATGGGAATGAGTGAGCAGAGGTGTGCATGTGTGAGGAGTGGGCGAGCATCGATGGGTGCAAGGGATTGCCCCATTGCGCTACGTTGGTTCCTCAGTTATATCTTCAGATAGCTAGCCACCTTTCCTAGACGAGATACCACACTTCTCTTACTGCAGTACTTTACCCCTCCGAACCTCCCATGTAACTGTGCCAGTCTACCACCACCACCAACCGGCCCCTGCTTGCTTGGCACTATCGAGCCAGCGTTACTGGATATAGCCTTTTTGTTACCCGCAGGCTCTTCCGATGGCGAATTCGGTTGAGATGGGTTTCCTTCCTTCGCCTGTTTAAGAGTGTCAGCTTCTATTTCATGATTTTGAGCCCGACTAAAGAAAGGTCCATCCACCTACCCAGATGCTGGAACAGCTAGGTACTGTAATTTGCTATCCTATGGAAGTCCTCTTACTTGGATCAATGCGAGCCGCATAAGTAGAACTCCGATAATAGTTTTCTATGAGGCAGACATCACATAACGGGCGCCCAGCTATGACATCGGGGGTAGACGCGTCTCTGCAAATTGCTAAATTTGTGTTTAAAACATGGGCCACAAGTTTTGTGGGTATATGAAGTGGATTGAAAAAGAGCAGGCTCAATAGGGGCTTGGAGATTTTAAAATTTTGGTACAGTCAGAGATACCTCTGGTAGGATGTCGAGGCGAGGGTTCCTCCTTGCTGATTCCGGTCCAGGGTAGTTCAGTAGCGGAGACTTGCGAGAGCCGCGTCGCGAAAACCTTCCACACGAGCAGCACCAGTCCCCCGCGAGGGCATCGGCAAGCCCAACAGTAATAATTCGTTTGATAAATAGTATTTTCCGTCGGGCAGCTAGCTTGAATGAAGCCTCAGGTAACGGTCTCGTACGAATACCAACAGCTCATCCCATGGTGACACAAAGTCTCCTCTCCGGCTTTTGTACCAAACATGCGGCTCTGTAAGATCGTTTACATAAGACTGGTATCGGGCCCAGTGGTACTGCTTAATAAGCTATCACACGATTGCACGCGTGTGTCGGATAGATCCTAGCGTTTCCGTCACATGATACAGGATAAGGTTACAGGTACCGGTAGACTACTACGTTTGATAACAATAGCGGCATATTGCACCAGTACTCGTACACCCGGCGGGATCCCAGAAATCCTCTTGGCGTACAGTACTTTATCAGATGAACTTTTGCGATGCAAGAGTTTATGGGCCCGATCCTGCTAACATGAGGAGGAGGAAGGGACAGCCAGCCTTTCAGCATCACTTGCCTCCAGGATTAACAGAACAGGAGAGATCCCGCGGGGACCGAATGCGAAGGAAAGGTCAAGCTAGGGCGCTGTGGTTAAGGTAGTTTGGCGCGAAGGTGTATTCAAGCTAATGTTGCAAGGAAGGGGAGGGGTTGTATCGGGAGGGGATTGGGGGAGCTGGAACCCGTTTTTCGAGAAGGGTGGGTTCTATGGGAGAACCCCTTCTAATGAGATACCCGTATAATACTGTACACAAATTTTATAGGTACTGGATTCGGAGGTTTTGGTGCCGAGGCTCTCTGAACGCACGGATCCTCGCCGCCGGGGCCTCGAAAAATTTGAAAGTCACTAGAATTTCTAGCGTCTGAACGAGGTGGAACGTTTGGTGGTTCGCTCGGCTTTTTCCTATAATACTACTCCTGCCGACTGGGGGTGACAGAATCCTCCCCCTTCTCATCCCCGGAGCTCGGTCACCGAAGGCCTTCTTTGCAGCATTGACTCGAGTACTCGTACTGGTAGAGCGGCCGGTGGTAATTGCGCTACATCAGTCGGTTATGGCTGCATTTCCACCCACAGTGCCTACCATATGTTTGCGGTCCTCCCACCGGTAAGCCAGTATAACAACCGCCAGGGGATCCGTATCCCGTGAAGGGAACGAACAGGCCCGACACAACCCTAGGCTTCAGTTTCACATTGGAAATTCCGGAAATTGATTTTAGTAAAGATATGCGGGCCTTGGCGGAGGGCTTTGGAACTATCGGTCCTGTACAGTACTAGAGTACTCGAGCACAGTACAGTGCTTGGGTGTTGGTGGTGTGCTGTGGCCGTGAAGGTATAGTCTACAGGTATGGCAAAGGGGTTGACCTACGTAAGCCCGAGAATTTTTGCGTGATGCCCTGGGGGGCCTCCGGTGGGAATCCGGAAGGGAGCTAGAGACCTCGGCCTATTTTCATGCCGACCGAGTTTCGTCAGGACTTATCTACAAGTGTCGTAGCCCCTCAGTTCAGACCCCGAGAATAGAAGTGAGGGAACCTGTGTACTAGTACAATTGGACAGTAAACTCCAAGATTGCGTACTGTATTCACTCCACACCTTGGGCATTAATGTCCGGTACCATAGACTGGGGTAATTCCTCTTAGATAGGCGTGATAGGAGCTTTCAGTACAAGTAGTATGATTTGTGTTGCCGCACCGAATTCGCTTGTTATTCACCGATACCCTGAGAAGGCCAGCCTTGTGCGACCTTCGATACATCTTGTCCGACTCCCATTGGAAATTCCGCCAGAGGCGGTTACCGCACTTGTGCGTGCAGACCCGAGGCGGCTGGTTTTAATGTGCATCCCGGAATTATCGGGGTGGTGTCGGAGTACCGGTACTGTATATTCTTTCACTGTTTTATGCGCACCTCCGATTTTGGGCCGCAAATAAATTTCCATGTATCATACTTGTATCCAAGGATCATTCACCTGTCTCGCCTCAAAGGTATGGCAGGTAGAATTGAATCGAGAAAAAAAAGGGACGGTAGCCACGGCCAGTTCTAAGAATGTTCCAAACAAGTTGATCCCGGAACCAGTATAATGTTTGATAGGTTCAAGTCTTGTATCAATGGCAACCCGAGCTGATGGGGTGCCTTGAATCCACGGTGGGCGTAGGATGCAGGAGGATGCGTCCCTGTCAGGAGGCCTTTAACTTATCGCGTCCAGTATCACCCGGCATAACCCGACACGCGCCGAATGCTGGTCACTATCTAAGCCGGAACTGGTGACTGACCAATTATGGGCACGTTTCCCTAACCCCTGGAGGGCTAGGGTTTTTTCAGTCTTTTCCTTAGCCTTAGATGCGAGGGTAGGACTTTTTATTTCCGGGGCTGAACCTGTGCCCCCGCTACGCGAGCCCCGACCTGAGATGCCATCGCTCTAATACCTATTCAGAGACCTTTCGCCAGATCTTTCGGTTTCACTGAATTACTCTATCACGGGCAAGGGTCACAACCCAAAGCTGCCTCAAAACTGCAAAATTATTCATCTTCATATCCAAGGTTCGGTCTTCGGCCACTCTATCTACCCGTATCCTCGCCTTGTTGGTATTTTACAGTGCTTTCGAAAGGATTTTGAACTATCATACCTCAATTGGCGACAAATAACCTACCTTCCTGTGTCAGATCAGCTAGCGACACCCCCCCACCGGACCTTTGACAACGGCCCTACAGGGAGCTAAATACTAGAAGACCCTGCGGATCAGTGGGTTCCCATCACTGGGATGTCTGCCATTTCAAAAAGAACAAGAGCTCACATAACAATCCTCGCAGGAAAATGCAAACCGATATCAGGGGAGACTTTAGCGGGAATTCGGGGGATCATAACATTTCCGGTAGCAATAATATCAATAATACTATAAACACAGGAGACCTGAAAAACGTTACCAATATCGGACATATATATCAACGGTGTCTTTTTAGAGCTGGGGACAGAGGTATTATCAGCTTCCCCGAGAGATTCCCGGCAGAGATCTAATGTGCTATCAAAAGTAGGAGAAGCATCTAGGCCTCATCGGATAATTCCCTATCGCAGAAACACCAGGTTTACTGGCCGTGAAAATCTCATTGAGTCGATCAAGAGGCTTTCCGAGGGGAACGGTCACCACCGGATCGCACTTCACGGATTGGGCGGATCGGGGTATGTATTCATTATTCTTACTACGGGCGTTTACTAACCTTCCTTAGAAAAACCCAGATTGCCCTCGAATACGTTTATCAGCGCGCAAGCGAGATCGATTGTGATGTTTTCTGGGTGCAAGGGAGTGGGGTATTAAAATTTATTGAGGGTCTCAGAGATATTGCACGGCATGTCCGAATTCCGCTAGCCAGCGCCGAGACGGAGCAAGGGCAATTCCTGGCGAGTATAAAGAGGTGGTTTGAAGGTCCCGATAGTGGTGATTGGGTACTGGTTATCGACAACGCCGACAATGAGGAGGACTTTGTAGGCAACAGCGGTCCCATCTCCAAATATTTACCGCAAGGCCAAAGGGGTACCCTAATATTCACCACTAGATCTCTCCAGGTTGTATCATGGCAGGACTGCGAAACGATAGAGGTCGGAAAAATGGAGGAGGATGAAGCGCAAGCGTTGTTTTCGAAGCGCTTTTGTAGCTGGAATAGTCTCGGAGATGAGGAAAAAGAGGTTGTCAAAAGGATACTGGACTCCGTACATCACGTCCCGCTGGCTATCGTGGGTGCGGCAGCGTTCATGACCGAGACCCGGACACCACCGTCCACTTACTGGACTATTTTTCGGGGAAGCGACGAACAAGCCAAGAGACTGCTTTCCCAGCCATTTTGTGATATCCAACGTGAGGCTGATATGACGGAAAGCATCCTAGCTACGTACTTTGTCACCTTTAATCGGATCGCGCACCAGATACCCCTAGCCGCCAATCTCCTGCGTCTAATTGCCTTCCTCGATCGTCAGAACATACCCGAGGAGCTATTGTGTCTATGTGGTTTGGTCGGGATGGACGATCCAATCGAGTTTCGTCGCGCCGTCGGAAAGCTGTTGGGGTTTTCGCTAGTTACGGGCGTCAAATGCGAGAATCGGACATTTTACGAGCTTCATCGTCTGGTACAACTGTCTTTACAACTGTACATACCGGCGGAGGAGTTGAATCGATGGAAGGGCACTGCGCTGAGACTTGTTTCAGGGTTGTTTCCTCGCAATTGGAAGGAGCAGAGATCAACCGGTTCGACATACATTCCACATGCACTTGTAGTAACCAAAGATTCAACGGATCCTGTTGCTGAAGAGCTTCGCTTTGAAATGGCACAGTTCTTTCTAGAGATGGGTTCATACAATGACGCAGAAACTCAATTGCGTGCCTGTATCGCACTTAGAGAGACGGGTAAAGGGTATGACCTGGAAGAAGGCCAGGGGAGAGTTATCCTCCTAGCGATGGTGAACATACGTCAAGGAAGGGCAGAAGCGGCCGAGCACGTACTGCGGAATTTATTAGAGCGGATTGAAGGATCGTTGGACCCAGATAATTCTATCGTCCTAAGTGCCATCCATCATCTGGCTATGGCGCTACAATCTCGAGGAAGGTTCGACGAATCAGAGGCACTAAATCGGCGTGCACTAGAGGGACGCGAGAGGATTCTTGGACCAGACCACCCGGACACCCTAACCAAGCCTCAATAGCCTGGCTATTGTGCTGGAATGCCAAGGAAATTACAATGAATCAGAGACGATGAAGCGCCGTGCACTGGAGGGACTCGAGAAGATTCTTGGACCAGA